TATTGATCTGTGCTGTATATTGCGTCCTCAGGTTTTTCTGTCGCGCTTGTTTCACCCTTTTAATACCGTTGTGACTGCGATTACCGGTGGTTTGCTGTGGGACAACAATTTCTGTCTTGCACAGCATCTCAAGCTGCTTTAAATGTTTTCTGCAAGTCCCTGAAAGGTGGTTTGTATAGGCAGCATTACTGACCAGCTGTTGTTTGTTGCAAAAGTGCTGTTGCTTATGTCACAGAAGAACGCTTTCGTTCTTTTTTGGAAGTTAGCAGAAAGAGAAAAGGCCATTCTTTTGAACGTACAGTAGATGCTGAATGTCAATAACATCGAGGACAAGGCGCTGAAATGATAGTATGTGCAATCTTGGTGATCAGCTCGGAATTTTAGGGCAGTGCCGAAAGTTTCGTCTGGTTGTACCCTCGATGATGACGATATCGAAACTATTGTTGTGCCAAAGAAAGCACGAATTGAAACTAGTTTAAATATTAGTGGAACAAACAGCGCGGGAGATTTGCCGGAGAATATTATCTTAGTTGACGAGGATGAGGAGAGGGAAATGGTATGTCGGGTTTTTTTTTTTTGTATTTTATTCCTTTTCATATTTCCTTTTGGCTTTTTCATCATAGTCGTTGAACTGTTGGATATTGCTAGGACATGTCGACCACGACTATGCTAGCTCGTTTTTTTATGCGTTTTGTGCTGTGCAACAGATGCCCAAAACGCATATTGTTGCAGGGTTGTGTGTATATGTGCGTTTTTTTGTTTCTCCAATGCATTTCGCCCGCAATTTTCAACTCGGAAATCACAAAAGCTAGGAAGCTAAAAATTTAGAGGAATGCTTCCTTCTCGCATTTGACCCCGTAAATTTAATTTCAGTCTTCCCCTGCACCTGATTACGACGTACAACCCTGTGAAAGTTTTGGCGGGAAAATTATTGCCGCGGAAACGATTAAAGCCAGAAAACTGAAATTTTACCGGGATGTCCGCTGCCCACATACAACTCCGCAAATTTACTTTCAGCCTTCCTGCACGCCCGGGTATCGCGTGCAGCCCGCGAAAGTTTTGGAGGGAAAATTATTGTTTCGGAAGAGTTAGGAATCTGAAATTTTAGAGTGATTTTCCCTACGCACGTACGACCTTGCAAATTTAACTTCAGCCTGCACGCGCCTCTGGGTACCACACACGGTCCCGTGGAAGTTTTGGCAGGAGAATTATTATCTCGTGTTTCACAAAAGTTGAATGTGTTGTTAACTGCCGTGATTGCAGACGTTCCGGTTCGCGCACTGGGATGAAGTCTGGAATGTACCATGGTCCCACAAGAAACTTATTCGAAAAGCAAAACATCTCCTCCCGCGCTCCTATTTTCCAGTTCGAGGTATTTCTTCATCAGTCGTCAAGGCTGCATTTTTTTTTTTTGATTCAAATTGACGCTAGAAAGAGCCGGAAACACTGGCCGGGAAACATCATTATTAAGGAGGTAATATTATTAAGAGAATTAGTACCACATTGTGATTATTGGTGTACGTGTGTGCGTGTGCTTTTATATGTACGTACTATATGTTTGTTTTTGTGTGTGTGTGTGTGTGTGTGTATTTCATTAAGCAGCAATAGCAAAAACAACAGCTGCGTGACGTAG